TCTCGGCTATTTCCTCATTCCCAGTTATTAAATTGGCCTTCTCATCCTCTAAAGGACCAATGTTTACCTTCGCCACTCTTTTACGATTTACATATTTATTGAAACTTTTGCTGCCTGTTTTTATATTCTGAGCTAGTTTATTGTCATAATCTATCTTACTTTTCTTTATAACTTTTTCTGTGGCTTTCTGTTGGCCTTTAAAGATTTCCCAGTCTACTAGTTTCCCACTACTCTTTGCTTTCTTGTATATGTTTTTTTTTCAATCTGATACTTTCCTTTATTTCCTTAGACATCCATGGCTGGCTCTCTCTTTTCCTACAGTTCTTCCTTATCACTGGAATATACTTCTGCTGAGCACTGTGAAAAATTGTTTTGAAAGTCCTCCACTATTCCTCAATTGACCCACCATAAAGTTTTTGCTCCCATTCTCCCTTAGCTAACTCCTCCCTCATTCCTTCATAGTCTCCTTTGTTTAAGCACAGGACATAGGTACTGGATTTAATCTTCTCACGCTCCATCTGTATTTTAAATTCGACCATACTGTGATCGCTCCTTGATAATTGCTGTACCATTTCTACATGCATTAGCTATTTCTATGTTTATTGCCCGCCCCACCACGATGTCATTATTTGGTAGCCTATAGACCACACCTATTAGTGACTTCTTCTCCCTGCTGTTCCTAATTTCCACCCAAATGGATTCAACGTTTTATTCAGTAGAACTGAGATCATCTCTCACTACTGCCCTGATATCATCCTTAAAAATCAGAGCAACACCACCTCCCTTACCTTCCTGTCTGTCCTTCTGAACAGTTTGATACCCCTGGATATTTAACTCCCAGTCATGACCATCCTGTAACGGCCACTAAATCATACCCATTTGCCATGATTTGCACCATCAATTCATCCACCTTGTTTCAAATGCTCCGAGCATTCAGACAAAGTGCCCTTATGCCAGTTTTTGCACCTTCTTTTTGAGTCCTTTTATCTCCATTACTAACAGCTCGAGTTCTCCTTCCCTTTAACTTTTTTCCTAATTTTCAATGGAGTTGAAGCTTCCTCGTCACCTGCTAACCTGCTGCTTTGCCTTACATTAATTGTTATTCTCCCTTCCACCCTACTTACTAGTTTAAAGTCCTATTAACCACCCTATTTACCCTTTTCGCCAAAACACTGGACCCGGCCCTGCTCAGGTGGAGTCTATCCCAGCGGTATAGATCCCTCCTGTCCCAGAACTGATGCCAGTGCCCCATGAAAAGGAAACCCTCTTTCCCACACCAGTCTTTTAGCCACGTGTTTACTTCCCTGATCCTCGCCTCCCTATACCAATTGGCACGTGGCTCGGGCAGCAATCCAGAGATTATGACCCTTGAAGACCTGTTTTTTAATTTTGTTCCTAGCTTTTCATAATCCCGAAACCGATCTTTTTCCTAGTCCTGCCTATGTTGTTGGTACCTACGTGGACCACAACAACTGGATCCTCCCCCTCCCTCTCTGGTATCCTCTCAAGCCGGTCAGAGATGTCTTGCACCCTGGCACCAGGCAGGCAACACGCCATGCGGATTTCTCTATCCTGCTCGCAAAGGATACTGTCTATCCCCCGATGATGGAATCCCCTACAACTACGATCTGTCTTTTTTGCTCCCCCTTCTTGAATGGCCTCCTGGCCTCCTAGTTAACTCCCAAATTTATTGGGTGGAAGCTTACGTTCCCAGGCTGCCCTCGCGCTTTCTCCCAGACTCTCGCCGCTGAAAACAACTGAAAGGCCGCAGTTACGCGAGGCAAGACTTTTATAATCGAAAAGCTTACCTTCCCAGGCTGCAGCCCTGATTTCATTGAGACACCTGCCTTCATTGGTCAGAATATTGAAAATAGGAGTTGGGACGTCACATTACAGCTGTACAGGTAAATGATGAGGCCACTTTTAGAATACCAATACAATTCTGGTCACCCTTTAATAGGGAAGATGTTGTTAAACTTGAGATGGTGCAGAAAAGATTTACAAGAATGTTGCCGGGACTGAAGGGTTTGAGTGATAGGGAGTGGCTGAACAGGCTGGGGCATTTTTCTCTGCAGTGACGGAGGCTGAGGGGTGACTATATAGAGCTTTGTAAAATCATGATGGACATAGACAGGGCAAGTAGCCAAGGTCTTTTTCCTAAAACTACAGGGCATGGTTTAAGGGGAGAGGGGAACGATTTAAAAAGGAACTGAGGGGTAACTTTTTCATGCAGAAGGTAGTGCACGTAAGGATCAAGCTGCCAGAGGAAGTGGTGGAAGCTGGTACAATTACAACACTTAAAAGGCATCTGAATGGGTACATGAATAGGAAGGGTTTCGAGGATCCTGGGCTAAATGCTGGCAAATGGGACCAGGTCAGATGGGATGACTGGTTGGCGCTGACGAGTTGGACCGAAGGGTCTGTTTCTGTGCTGTATGACTATGACTCGGTATTCTTATCCATATCCTGGAAATTGCCTGGTATTCCCAAAATCAGCAATTTTGGTTTTGTAAGTCACATTTCATTGAAAAACATGGGATACCTTTAGCAATTTTCTACTCCCCCCTCCGAGGTCCAAAGTCTCTGCTGTGCCTCTGCCTCTGCCTCATCAACGTCCTGTACAGCCACAACGTGACATCCCAACTCCTACCTTCAATATTCTGACCAATGAAGGCAGGTGTCTCAAATGCCTTCTCCCCCATCTTGTGTCTATCTGTGACTCTACTTTCAAGGAACTATGCACCTGCACCCCCTAGGTCTCTTTGTTTAGCAAAACTCCCCAGGGCCCTGCCATTAACTGTATAAGTCCAGCACTGGTTTGCCTTACCGAAATGCAACACCTCTTCATGAAAGGAAAATCAATTACAGTCATGAAAGTAATGTTGTAAGATACATAAATTCATATAATCAACTTTGTAAATAACTGCTCCTCTGCTTAGTTTCACAAGTTTCAAACAAATCATATACCACAAAATCCAAACTTTTGGAAAAACAGGTGTTGTAAAAGATAAAGGTCACCAAGAAAAAAAACATTGAATGCTAGAGAAAAATCTGTACAGCACCTTTTACACCCTCAATGTCCCTAAGCACATGACAGTTCATTAAGCACTGTTGCAGTTTAGCCATTCTTGCACTATAGGAAATGCAACAGCAAACATTCCCTCAGCAAAGTTCAACAAACAGCAGTGAGATCAACGACCAGATAATTGGTTTCCGTTGTTGGTCAAGGGATAAATATTGGGCCAAGACGGCAGGATGAATTCCCCTATTTTTCTTGAAAACAGCATCATGGGCTTCTTGATGACCTCTTCAGAGGGAACAGACAGGGCTTCAGCTCAATACTTCCTCTGAAACACTTCCTTCACCTGATGGAGGGTCTGTGCTTTGAAAGCTTGTGATTTCAGATAAATCTGTTGGACAATAACCTAATGGCGTGTGACTTCTGATTTTGTCAGCCCGAGTCCAACATCACCACCTCCGCGCCCAAAAGATGTCACCTCGGGCAGTGCAACATTCCTTCAGTGCCACACTACAACATCAGTCAAAGTTTTGAGGTCAAAGCACTGGGTTGGACCTGAACCCAAATCTTCTGACTCAGAGCCAAGAATACTGCCACTCAGTCAGAAGTGAAGATAGCAACACTTTAAAAGCAAGATAAGGCTTTGGTTATATGTCTATTTAAGGATTCATCTGTTGCCAAGTCTAAAACCATCAGGTGAAGGAATACCTAATTAAAAAAAAGACTCAAGTCTTTATTGCTGTATGAGATTTAGAATCCCTACAGTGTGGAAACAGGCCCTTCAGCCCAACAAGTCCACACCAAACCTCAGTGCATCCCACCCAGACCCATCCCCCTATAACCCACCTAAGCTACACATCCCTGAACACTATGGGCAATTTAGCATGGCCAATCCACCTAACCTGCACATCTTTGGACTGTGGGAGGAAACCGGAGCACCCGGAGGAAACCCACGCAGACACGGGGAGAATGTGCAAACTCCACACAGACAGACACCCGAGGCTAGAATCGAACCTGGATCCCTGGTGCTGTGAGGCAGCAGTGCTAACCACTGTGCCACCGTGCCACCTATCAACCTATCCAAAGTGGTCACTGTACACCTCTGGAGCAGGTGGGACTTGAACCTAGGCCTTTTGCCTCAGAAGCAGGGATAGTATCACTGCATCACAAGAACATCTGATAACACTTACTCAGGCAAAATGTCAGAGCCCTGTCAGTAGCCATGGAGCAAAACAAGTTACACTGAATGCTTTACCTTTTCTCTGATGACAACATTCAATTTAGATCTTAATCTTCATCAGATGTAAAAGTAAACATGAAACAAATGCATTCTTTAAAGGGCTCTGGATTGTCCAATTAACATTTTAAAAGATTCCAGACAACACAACACAAACCAAAAGCTGACATCATCCATTCAGGTCAAAAACCTAAAAAATGCATGTTTGAAAAGTCACACAACCTTGAACTATAAATATTTACTCTTTAAATGTGCTCTTACAATTATTTTTTGAGCAGCATGGAGAGGACGGCACCAAGAAGCAAGTCTGTCAGTGCCTGGGATGACTGGATAGTTTTTGGGAGTTTAAAATGGAGATGTATTACTTTTGGAAGTAAGACTATGGAAAAAAAAAAGAGTTTACAGTTTCTACAATAAGTCTATCCACATAGAAAGAAACACACGAGGGAGGCAGGAAGGAACAGAATTTTATGTTGATTGGGTTGGATGAGATGAGATGCCAGAGAAGGTTCACATAGAACATGAACCAGTTGGACCAAAAGTCCTGTATTCACCCTATAAATCTAATGCAGTGTGACTATTAAATCACCCTTTTCACAATTAACACTTCCAGAGTTGCCATGTTGGAGGGCAAGTTGTCACCAGTTTAACAATAAACGCTGTCTCTCCCCTGGTTTATTTCCGTTTCGGGTCAGGGTGGATGGAAGTGTTTCGTTGTGGGGGTGGGGGACGATGTTTGCCTACCTTGGCGGTGTTCTTGCAGTACCTCTGCACGGCTTGGCGTACGAGTTGCTGGACGGTCAGGGTCCCGTCTCCACACGGGACGACAATCCCGGTACGGCCGAACTGTACCGTCACCTTCATGATGGTGCAGGTGGTCGTGGCGGGAGGAGGCTGAGGCGGCCCGCGAGCT